CACTGCGCATGAAATGAATTTCAGGTGCTACGCATAGGGCATCTCTCTCGCGCGTACACTGCGCAGAAAAGGAATTTAAGGGTTTTGCGCATGTGCAATTTGGCAGTTCAGACTCAGTGTTGCCATACGTAGCGGAATTCCGCTATTTGTAGCGGATTATTTTGAGATGAGCGGCGTAGCGGCGGTAGAGCAAATTAGCCCAAAATGTAGCGGAATTTATTACATACAAAACTATCATATTTATTTCACTGTTTTAACGTTAATAACGTTCTAAATCCTAAATAGGCAGTGGCTAGAGTCTGATTTATTATCACATTAATAATAAAATTGGTGCATTTGGTGCCGCTTGAGCCATCTAGGAACAGAGAAGAGAATTATTCCAATTGCCTTTTTTTTTTAATAACAGATGGCGTACGTACTGCTTTCAATACTAATCGTTTCTAACAGGTCTCAGCAGGCAGACATAATATTAGATTTCTCGCTTTGTATTGTATTTTTCAGCTCTGGGTATATACTGTTTAGTTTCGTTTATATTAGAGTTCTTATTTTTATGTTGATCATTTTATTGATATATCATTTGCTGCAGATTTTAATATTAAATATACTGGTAAGTAACAAAACTGCTTAAATATCTAACATATTATAGTTTGATCCAGAAATAAATCTTAGTCGCGAAATTTGTTTTTAACGCTTTTTCTTCTGGAAAATAGGAATAATGGAAAGGCGACAGCAGACCATTAACGATTTTTTTGATAAAAATCCTCCTAAAAAACGAACGGTGAAATCAAACGTGGCCGTACCATCCACTTCGACTGCATCTGTGTCGGACTCGGAGCATCCCGAACCTAAATACAGACAAAATAGAAGAGCGGAATCTAGTGGAATCAGGTCTGAGCCTGATAATTCGACTTGCGAATCTCAGGATAACCAAGAGCCAGAGCAACCTGTTAAGAAAAAGACACGAAAACAAATGTTTATTACTTCATCATGGCTAGAAGATCCGTTATTTAAAGGCTGGTTGGGACCTATTGAAAATGACAAGTTGAAAGCAAAATGTAAAGCTTGTAATCAAATAATGGGTGCTAAAAAATAAGATTTAGTAAACCATTCGAAATCAAAAAGGCATGCCACGAATGTACAAGCAATTTCGAATGTAAGAACGTTAGATAGCACTTTTCAGTCTCGGGAAGCACGTGAGTTGGAAAAACGGCAAATATTTGCTTGCTTAAGATATAGTCTTTTAGTTGTAAGTCATTATATAAGTTTTACAACTGTTGATCATATAACAGGAGTTAGTCAATTATGTTTTAAAGACCCAGATCTCTCTAGCTCACTTAAATTAAAAAGATCCAATTCTTTGTCCTTATTTTTTGTTTTTTTTTTTTCTATTAAGATTAAGATATTGGTGATAGTTTCTATTTTTTTATTAGTTCCTAGTGCTAAACCAAAGACAGTTTTGTTTTTTTAGAGGTATACTTTTTATGTTTTTACGAAAAATTGCAATTATATTATGTTACTGTTTGTATTTTTAGTAGGGTTTTTAGACAGTGTTTAAAAAAAAGCAAATATGTAAAAAATATATTTGTTGTTTATTTTAAGCCTCCCCCCCCCTTAAATTTTTAGACCGTAGCGGCATGTAGCGGAATTTTGCGATACGTGTGACGGATATTTTAAACTTCGCTCTGGCAACACTGTTCAGACTATGTGGTTGCCTGCAGAAATATTGAATTATATCAATAAACCCGCCAAGTAATAAACCTAAAAATCATATCGAAACGTGAACGGAATGCACTAAAGATTGCGGCAGGTTATATTGAGATTTTTCAATGCGCAGACGCCGTACGCCACGTTCTTCGCCTACTTGATTTCCGACAGGATTGGCTTCATATGACTACGTGTTACACAGTTTAATCTCCTACTCGTATCTCTAGTCTTCGTGAGGCTACCTCAGCTGCCACGCAAACCATGGATTGAAGATGACATTCTCATGACTCGTGACAAATCTCCGCTCCTTTAGACATAACGTTTTCTACGATTATGTCGAATATCTCTCGGTACACTGTCCGACAAGCGGAGCATTACCATATTACGATTCCCACATAAATAATTAGAATTACTCAAAAAGCTCGACGACCTGTCCTTAGATAAGAATTTTTATTGTCAGGAACGGTACCTTCCTCGTTTATGGGTACAGTACAGTTGAAAAATGGCGTCAAGTCGGTTAACTCTGCACTTTCCCTCCAAAGCCAACAAACATGCAAAACAAAAAAGTTGAATGGACCAAGTCATCCAAATAGGTCTTTACTGTGTTGTAATTGTTTTAAGGTCAAATGTACTAGGAAATCTATGAAGTGTGGAATATGTGGATAGTAGTAAATAGTAGTAGATAATAATAATCCACATGAGGATAATGCCTGTAAATGGATCAGTTGTATGCTGAAACGTGTGACATTCCAAAAACAAAACAAAAGAGTTAAAAGAAACTCGAAGATTTAATCGCGTTCACTAACAACTTTGTGATAATGGCTGATAGTATGTAAGAAATAAAGTTTTTGATTTCAGATAATTTTGTCTCGTTGTATCATTTGTTGAGTATAATTTTGGTTTTCGGAACAGAGTTTTTAAAACAGTTCTCTATAAAAGATTTTCATTTTGACTCAAAATTGCTCAAAATTACCTTTACACTATTTTTCAACGTTCTGTAAAATGGTGCGTGCCCATGACAAAAGCGGTATCAACACACATTATGGTGTCAATTTCTTGTCATGTTGAAATTATCATGGAGAAAAATATCGAAGAAGTTTATTTCAAAATATTCTGAATGGCTACACAGAAAGGTCAGTAGCATATGGCACATGATCGTATTTCCAATTTTACGTAAAAATGACCTTGAAACGTTTTGAGTAACATTGAGCTTAGATGCGAACTCTCAAATTGATTTGCATTTGTCCTTGAGGTGACCTTGCTCTTCAAATGTAGAAGAAATTAATTTCAAATTGTTCTGAATGGCTACACCATAGAGAGGTCAGTAGCCTTTGGCACACAATCACATTGTTAGTTGACCTTGTAACTTTTTGAGTTAAATTGACCTTAGATGCGAACTCTCAACTTGATTTGCATTTGTCCTTGAGATGACCTTGCTCTTCAAATGTAGAAGAAATTTATTTCAAAATATTCTGAATGGCTACATCATAGAAAGGTCAGTAGGATTTGGCACATGATCACATTTTCAATTTTACGGAAAAACGATCTTGAAAGGGGCAAAACATAAACTTTTTTAGTAAAATTGACCTTAGATGCGAACTCTCAACTTGATCTACATTTGTCCTTCAGGTGACGTTGCCCTTCAAATGTAGAAGACGTTTATTTCAAAATATTCTGAATGGCTACATCATAGAGAGGTCAGTAGCCTTTGGCACACAATCACATTGTTAGTTGACCTTGAAACTTTTTGAGTCAAATTGACCTTAGATGCGAACTCTCAACTTCATTTGCATTTGTCCTTGAGGTGACCTTGCTCTTCAAATGTAGAAGAAGTTTATTTCAAAATGTTCTGAATGGCTACTCATAGAAAGGTCAATAGGATTTGGCACATGATCATATTTTCAATTTTACGAAAAAATGACCTTGAAAGGGGCAATAAATAAACTTTTTGAGTAAAACTGACTTTAGATGCGAACTCTCAACTTGATCTACATTTGTCCTTGAGGCGACCTTGCCCTTCAAATGTAGAAGAAGTTTATTTCAAAATATTCTGAATGGCTACATCATAGAGAGGTCAGTAGCCTTTGGCACACAATCACATTGTTAGTTGACCTTGAAAATGTTTGAGTCAAATTGACCTTAGATGCGAACTCTCAACTTGATTTGCATTTGTCCTGGAGGTGACCTTGCTCTTCAAATGTAGAAGAAGTTTATTTCAAAATATTCTGAATGGCTACATCATAGAAAGGTCAGTAGGATTTGGCACATAATCACATTTTCAATTTTACGGAAAAATGACCTTGAAAGGGGCAATAAATAAACTTTTTGAGTAAAATTGACCTTAGATGCGAACTCTCAACTTGATTTGCATTTGTCCTTGAGGTGACCTTGCTCTTCAAGTGTAGATGAAGTTCATTTCAAATTATTCTGAATGGCTACATCATAGAGAGGTCAGTAGCCTTTGGCACACAATCACATTGTTAGTTGACCTTGAAACTTTTTGAGTCAAATTAACCTTAGATGCGAACTCTCAACTTGATTTGCATTTGTCCTTGAGGTGAACTTGCTCTTCAAATTTAGAAGAAGTTTATTTCAAAATATTCTGAATGGCTGCATCATAGAAAGGTCAGTAGGATTTGGCACATGATCACATTTTCAATTTTACGGAAAAATGACCTTGAAAGGGGCAAAAAATAAACTTTTTGAGTAAAATTGACCTTAGATGCGAACTCTCAACTTGATTTGCATTTGTCCTTGAGGTGACCTTGCTCTTCAAACGTAGAAGAAGTTCATTTCAAATTATTCTGAACGGCTACATCATAGAGAGGTCAGTAGCCTTTGGCACACAATCACATTGTTAGTTGACCTTGAAACTTTTTGAGTCAAATTGACCTTGGATGCGAACTCTCAACTTCGTTTGGATTTATCCTTGAGGTGACCTTGCCCTTCAAATGCTCTCATATAGACAAAATGACTTATACGACACACTCGCAGCTGATTGCTCGACTTTTTTCAACAAACTAACATTGGATTCGAACTCAACGACTTTAAAAACCTATGTGACAGGATAGTGATAGCTTCTCGGCTTTTTGTGAATATCTTATTGAAATGCCTTTGAAACAACCATATTCCTTTGTGTCTCAAGAAAATTAAACATCCCTGAATACCCGTCGTAATTGACAATTTTCAAACTCGACTTACAGTTACGTAGAATCAATCTTATTCGCTTGTATCTCAGAAAAAAAAATACATTTATCTTATTTATCCAAATCTTTAACGTTCGCTTTGCTTTTCAGCTATCCAGACCCTCAAAAATGACATCCCCGGCTCTGAACAACGGCAACAACGGCCAGAAGGAAACGTCAAAAACGGCATCGAGCAACACTTTAGCGCAGGCCAATCAGGCGGAAGCGGCGGCGAACGGACGCGGATTGGCTCGCAACCTGTCGTCTCCATTCATCGCTTGGTGGCGAGTCTTCAAAATGTGCAACTTGCTGTCACAGCAAAGATGTTAGATCTGACGCGGTCCGCGATGCGCGAGATGTATTAAAGCTGTTGTTTTGTCAATTTTGTCTATTTTAAAAGTCGTTTGTTGATTCGATATGTTTCAGATTCATTCCAAAAGCGATAAATCAAGCAGGTTATATTCCAAAATTCAAAAATGTTTTATGTACTGTGTATTCTTTCGCTCTGGTTGTACTGATCGAATCTTGTGTTTTTCGTGGCAGTTCCACCACCAAATTTCCGAGCAATGTTTGCCCAAATGTATCTGAAACATATTGCGCTGTATATAAAGTTAAGTCGGTAATTTTATGTTTGGAAACAGCACGAAGAATCTCTGATTGTATTTTGTTACTTTTAATTCAGAATTATTGAGTGTAAAGTACGAAAGGATTTTTATGAAACAATAATGTGCCATATAATAAATAATAAATGCTTTCTGTATGGGCTAGAAATATTAAAAGAATCGACGATCTTTTCTGGAATAAATATGAAATCAAAATTCTTCGAAAAATTAAAACAAAATTGGGCAACTTTTCAGTATTTTCTATCGCATTTTCGACTTTTGGGTGACTCTTTTAGTTTTGAAAAAGATTTCTTGGTGGAACAAACAAAACAAAAACGGCCAACTTTCCAGTATTTTCTACTGCATTTTCGATTTTCGTTAAGAGTCTTCGTGCTGTTTCTACATTTTGAATAAGAGTAATATTAGAGTACTCCCAACTTTTTTAAAATACTTGGAATGCATAAAGGTTAAATTGAACGTTGTGAATAGACTCATAAAGAATAACGTTTGCCAAAGTGCAGTGCCTAAATCACTAGACTAAGTAACTGTCACTACGATTTACGTCTAGTCAAAGTGTTAAATACCATATTCAAGCAGGATCACGATCTCTTGTAGACGCATCTGATTCATTTTCTCAAAGTTCATCTCGAACTTTCAGTGCTGCTTGGAACTTCTAGTCAATCTGTGTCTTATTTTACACTAAAAGCAATGTCACGCACTCACGAACATATTTTCTTGTATTCCCCTTTAAGTTTACGACGAAATTCTAAAATATCACAGTACAAAGTAAGCCCTCCATAAAGGATTCAAAACAAAATTTTAGCTGAAAAGTTGGGAGTACCACTTCTTCGTAACCAATACAATAATGCATTGTTAACGTTATCGAAAATATACGTCATAAAATTATAAAAAAATAATAGGAAGCATTTAAGAATCGTTGAAACATAATGAAATTGTATTCCAGCTAGAGCTATTTTGGGCCAATTGGCGTTTATCAAAGTTCAAACAATGCGTTGCAAACACCGTTTTATGATGTTTATTACTTTTACTTAGATCGATATAGAATCGTATATCCCTATTAGATTTAGCCTGCAGCGGAGGTTGTAATCCATATATTCAATTAGATAATTCAAAAAACGATATAATTCTCTAAATATCATTATTGAAACTAATAGTAGAAACTTTGTAGGTCAAATATTGGTTTATTATGAAGAAGAAAGTCAAGAATATTCTCATTCTCCTGATACAACAATGCGTTACTTTGTATGCTGCACTAAGAACTTACAATCGCCATTCCCCGTTATGCCATTAATATTTTACGTAAACGCTGGTGCAAAGTTATTGGTCCGATATTTCCCCAACTTAAGGAAAGGCCACTAAAATATCGGCTTTGATAAAACCAGCTTACCTTTTTTGGAGAAAATAGCGTACCACTCATTTTGCACCCATGAGCCATTTTTCTATGATAACTGTGACATTTTTCGTGTTATTCTATGTAAGGATATTAATATAGCGTTTTAGGTATTATATCCTCGCATGATCTTACCTGCATTTTTTAAGCGATCGTTGTAAGCCAATTAATAGACATGCGGAAGAAGCTTTTTATAGTCAGAATAAGGCAGAAAATGAGGTATGGAATTGAGGAGAAGCAATAAGTTTAGGAACTGAAAAGAAGGATCCATATCTTTTTACATTTCACGATACATAATCAATTCATCAATAATCCTACGATATATCTTATTTTTTAATAATACTGTTGTGATAGTTGACTTTACATTGTTATAGGTAGTATACGATGGTTTGACGTTCTTTTCAATATATCGTTGACTAGGATCAATGTGTTTTTCTATGTACCCTTTCCCTATTTTCATTCTAACTTTATAGGGTGTCCGCAAAGTTGGGGTTTTCCTTTACACGACGTGTAGATCTTGAAAACATAAGCAATTTTTCTTAGTACCATATACACCAATGTCTTAAGGGAATCGAGATAAAGGGCTCTGCAACATCAAAAATATCTAAATACCGTCCTGTAGGCGCGACCCGCCACGATATCCCCGACTGGTACAAGATCTCAACCCGACGGCAGAACTGGGTCGGGGTCAGTGTGTCAGGTTAGTATGCAACCTTCAACCGACGGTTACAGTCACGCGTGTAGAGGTAAACGAACTCGTATAATCGATTGCGTTTCAAAAAACAACAAGCACTAGAGACGTGGCTAGAGAAGTGCAAGTATCAAAAACTAAAGTGAGGCAAACGCTGCGTGAAGAGGGGCTGTATCCGTTTCACGTCCAACGTGTACAAGCCCTTCAACCTGACGATTTTCCAGCAAGAGTGCGGTTTTGTGAGTGGTTGTTGCATCAACATGACAATAATCTGGACTCTTTGACGTGCATATTGGTGACAGACGAATCTACGTCCACGCGTAATGGGGTGAATAACTTTCGCAACACTCATGTTTGGTCATTTTCAACAAACATTTTCGGTGAATGTTTGGGCTGGCATGGTGAACGGTATGCTCATTGGACCATTTATTCTCCCAAATCGATTGGACGCGATGCAATACCTAGACTTTTCACGCAACATTTTGCCTTCCTTGTTAGAAGATGTGCCATTAAGTGTAAGACAATCTATGTGGTTTCTGCGCTTCAGCTGATTTCATTTTCTGTTGGAGCGGTATGATTTCGGGCAGAGACGTACTTAGCCCTTCTCGTCAACTGGAGAGTGAGTACTTTTTCCTTTATTTTTTTTTTACTTGGTCGCCCTCGTTTCACTACACATTACCTTTGTTATTTCAAGGGTAGTTGTTTCTGAAAAGGAAAACCCCAACTTTGCGGACACCCTGTATAGGTACATTAGTAACCTTTCTTTTTTAAATCGGTCCTTTTTAGGGCCACAAATCAACAATAAAAAGAAATTCTAGTAAAATTAGTTTAAATATACTGTTTTTTTTTTGAGAAAATCAACCATTTCTGTCGGAATGTAGAAAAAATCCCCCTAGCGGGGAAACATACATTTTCAGGTTTAAGATCGCAGTTAAGCCGCTGGCGGTCATTTCAGGAACTTCGATATTTTTTATGTCTTGGAAACAATGCGTTGTTATCATTACAAAGAAACTGAACTTACCTCAAATCTTTCTCGTTGAAAGAGCTGGGTCTTGGTGCGTCCAGGGCAGCCCTAAAAATTCAATTATATCATCTTCAGATTCTTTTGAAACATCGACTATTTGGCTGAATGAATTATAAAATCGTAACACTTTCGATCGGTCCAAGAAAGATCCAACGATAAATGAGCAAAATCGTTGATAAAATCAACCCCGCGTCCAAACAATGATTGGCGATCGAACGAGGTACTGGAGCGCCATCTATGATCGACTTTGAAAAGATTAGCGTCTCATAGATGGCGCTGTAACCGAATATGTGCGGCATGCTGATATACTTCGCTACAGCGCCATCTATGAGACGTTAACATTTCCAAAGTAGATTTCTAATTGCAACATAGTTGTCGAAAATTTTCGTAGATGACGCCACTGTTTCTCACGTCATATGTTTTAAGTAGGCTCCCTCTGATTTCGAGTTAATAACTGAGTTTGATCATCTGTCTATAAAATAAGTGTAGCTGTTTATAATGTGGGTTTCAGCAAGCAATTATTTTAAGCTAAAAGCTCAAAGGCAGCAAAAAAGGTATTTGTTCTCCTAACATTATGTTTCACACGTGATTACAAATATATAACTGAAAAATCATGCTCTGCAATAGTGAAATATTTCTTTCTTCGTTAACTGTGCTTACGACACAACAACGCATAATTGAGTCTTTTCGAAAATAATAATATACCAGAATTTTGAAAACTCTTTAAATAAAAGTAGAAGGATCTTAGGAGATGTAATCTGATAATAATTTAAAGTAGCGAAACTATCAAATTTAAAGCCTTTCGGAAGCGCAAAGCTGCTTTGATTTCAGCGTCTCATACCAGTTCAAGCATTTCTCGTGGACCCTTTTATATAGAGGTCTTCTCCTAGCAGTTTTTTTCATAGGCATTCCAAGTCTCGTCCTACAACATTTATTGTTTATGTCAGCAATGCTATTCTTTTTCCCAACAATGGTAGGAGTTTCATACTTTGTACGTCTCTGATTTTATAAAATAGTATTTGCCCTTAAAAATTAACCTAGTCTTCATTCCTTTAAGTGTCTTCAGTTTGATGAATCTCACATACCACAAATTGAAAGATGTAGCAGGAATATTGAAAATGAAATGTGTTCATAATTTAACACTGTCTGTATCAAAATTTTTGTTATAGACCCAGATGCTGATGACGCAATAATAAGTATAAACTTGCCTAAATAGAAAAATTATTCGACTTGAAACACAAAATGTATCTTACCTGCTCTTGTAGAACGCTAGCGCGTCCTCGTCGAAGCTGCGATATCCTTTGGTCGAGTCCACTCCCGAAGAACCGCCCGATTTTAAATTTCCCGCGCTTAGCATACGATGAAAGCGCATGCGCAGTGCACGGATCGTCGGCGATTTTGGGCTAGATTTCCCGTCGGATTCCGCGAGACTTTTCGCGGGCGTTGGTGGAGAATCAGGCTTTTCCTCCTCCATTATCCAGTCTAGAAAAAACATTAAGGATGATAAAGTTAATTCAAATTATGAGCAGGATATAAATTGGACTTTTATCATTTAACTTTCCCAAGGCTGTGGGGAGTAAGGAACGCAACAAAAGTTTGTATAAAATGTAGAGTTTTGAAGATTCGTCTCCACAGCTAGGTGAACATATTGTACTTTCTACAAACCCGAATGAGACATCGTAATAGCTATTTATGTAATTAGGGTGTAGACATCAAAATTATGGAAGTCTATAAATGAAAGACACACTGAAAGGCTGACGACCACTGCCTTTAGGGCATTTGAAAACCTTCATGGTTCTAATTGCCTAAAGGATAATAAATAATTTGAATTCGGATGACTTACAGACACAGTAAAGTTCAACCAAAGTTCAATACAGACGCTTGGAAATTAGAAGTTTCAGCCCGAAAAAGCAGCTTTCTATCAACGCGAAATCGAAAACACACTCCACTTATAACATTAATTCCCCGAACTTCACAACAGAAATCAACTGTGGCAGGACGTAACGTTCACTTGTTTTTCAGGACTATGCGATAATGTGAAAAATTAGCAAGAATCATTAGCGAACTAGTTGTAATTAGCGTCCAGTTTGCACCATATTTGAATAATTATTACACGAGAAACGCAGAAAAATAAACGGATATATTTGTTGATACGGGAGCCTGGGCACTTCCGGCAAATACATGTTAGTTGAACCACATCCCGCTAGAATTTAGTCATCACTATTAGTCTGCGGCTTTATCAGGGCAAAGAAGGAACCAATATCAAATGAGTAATAGATGGCGTCAAGTAGATTGACTCTATACTTCCTACGTGTTTAAAACAACTTCCAGTAGGTACAAATTTCCATGTAGCACCATTAGTGCACTATCGAGCTTTTCATGAAAAACATACACACGATAGCATCATGTCTTTGGATCTGTGGTGTAAAACCGTCAACATTGCTTGATATCTGACTTTAATAGCATTTGATGGGTACATATACAGGGTGTTTTCAGAGTTGAGTCATTTATTTTAACAGCTTGTAGAAAAATCACCTGCATTTTGTTGGCACTCTCCGTATGTTAGTATTATGTCCACTAATTCATTTTTTTTTTCGTAAACATGGGCCATTTTTTCGCACAAAATAATCAGACAAATGACACTATTAAAAAACAAAAAGTTTGCCAAATTTAAATAAACGATAACAGTAGTATTTTCTTTAATTTTTAATCTTTCACTATTTCTTTCATTAAGCAACTTTTATACTGACTTTGAAGTTGAGTCATTAATTTTCAGATAACGATTGTAGAAGGAAGATAAACCAAAATATGTGTGTAAAAATAAAAAAAAAATTTACCTTGTTTTATAAAATATCCTCCCGACAAGTATTTCAGTGCGGACCTGTATTTGATCGTGAGGTCTTGGATCACCGGCATGCCGTCCCCTGTGAGGTCTTAAGTCACCTGATTCACGAGTCCGTTGTACTACATTAACAAAGGCACGAGGGGTTGGTTGCACTCGATTGGGAAACCGATCCGCATAAACATGTGCCATTTTTTATTTCGTTTGAGCCACGCAACAGACACCACTATTCACTCACGCGTTACCGACTGACACTGACTGTATACAACATACAACTGAATAAAATAATTGTAAAAACATCGTTCCAAATTCTTTCGCCTTTTTGTTTCCGATGCGATGAACCGATAAGGCGGATTATATCCGTTGTTGCCAAACACGAGCACATAATATTATTGAGACAGGGCGGTACTCAAACTTCCAAAGGGCTATAACTTTGTTACTTTAATTTTACCAGAAAAATGGTAAAGGAAAAAAACATTTCTTTTGATCAGATCTACTCACTGTTAAAATAAATGACTCAACTTCGAAGTCACCCTGTATATGTAGGCGATTTTCGGTATATTAACTGCTTTTGGCGAGTCCCACAAGCAGTTAAAATAAATGACTCAACTTTGAAAACACCCTGTATTTTAATGTTCGTGCAAGCTGTTGGAAATACGCAACAATGAGAAAACCTTACCTTTCAAACTTCAGAGTATCCAAAATGTCAGTGGAAAATCTTTTTTAGTTTTCTGAATAGAACTTTTTTTGATAATTGCGGGGTTTTTTAAAAGACCACATACTGACTTTCAATGAGCTACCATAAAGATAGAATGACATAAGGGTTCAGGAATACGCGACGACGTGATGTCGTTGTAAGGTTTTCCAGAATCCATTTGATTAATTAATCGACCGCCGCTTCTGGGAATACGGAAAAATACAGGATAACCGGATAATACCGAGAGCACAACGATGACAGATAACAATGTATGCTCGTAGACATTCGAGAGATCAAAGGAGTTTTGACGATGATTAAAAAGAACTTTAGGTGTATGAAATATCAAGACACATCTAGGCTTGTCTAACTGAACCTCCAGGCTTCTGCTTTTCACTCTAAATCGATGCATCGAGCTCTTGCCAGTAAGTTTCGAGAATGTGGAAAGATTTTCTAGAAGAGATTTTTCCCAATTCTGCTACCCAGTGAACATGGTAACGTCGTAATGCCATTTTTAAGGCGCTACAGACGTACGCCGACCAACAAAAATGACGTATAAACGACGTCATTATGACGGTCTAATGTCAAACCCAATTGACGTCATTATATGACGTCATAGTATGTCGTATAATAGACCAAACACATAGTCGTTATAACGTGTATATGATGTGGATATGAGGTCGATCTGACGTCTATGTGACGTCGATATGACGTACAGTCGCTCGGAAAAGTAGTCGCGCGGTGTATCAAAATGTTCCTGAAAAATTGAGGATGGGACAACGACACCCCACAAGCATCGAATATTGTTATTTGAAAAGTCATATTAACAAGATTTTTTTGGTCGAAGAATTCCTGATACTTTTTTATAAATGACAATAAGGTAGTTATTAGTTTTTGTATGCCGAGTTTACCTTACTGTTCATTAAAAGTCTATACTTTCTTTGTTATTGTGCTGATTTTTCAATACTGACTATCCTAAAAATGACGTCAACATGACAGCCTTTTAAAGGACGTTTTGTCATCAAAATGGCGTCAATAAGGACGTCATTTTTCAGTCTATGACGTTTCCGACCATAAGTGACTGAATTATCCAATTTCCTATTTTCTCCTATTTGTCTCTGATGCGCCCAGGAATAATAATATATTATATATTGATGCAAATTGTTTTTATTTTGCCTTTTCTATTAACAGAGTCACACGTTAAGCGTTCATCATCTCATCAAACATGCATAATACTCGTTATGATTAGCATGCACATGCTAATTTTGCTTCAGCAAAACAAAATCTGAAGTTGTGTAAAAATTTGTTCTAACCAGAATTCAATTGCTTAACCAACTTCTAGACGTTACCCATCTAAAAACAAATTGTTACTTGTTTCTTCATGAAAATGTCAAAAAAATGTGGAACGCTTCACGATTTTGCGTGTCATCCTTGCGCAGGGGCCATGCTAATCTTCTCTGTATCGTTCCAATTTTAGTATATGTACCGCCGAAGCGAGTACATTTGCTATAATTTAATGCCCGTATATAAGTTCAACTTCACAAAGGATACGATAGCAACTTGTAATTTACAATATGTAAATGAATATGGTGCGCCATCTAACTGAATAACTCTAAACTAATCAGTGTTAGCCATTTGGGGATCAGCGTCGTAAGTAATCGCGCCTGTTTTTCGAATGTGTATACCTGCCACCTATTAGCAGAATTCCTAACTGAGCTAGGAGATCCGCCTCAGTAAAAAAAACTTTATCTTCTTCTATCACAGACAAAAATGATCATTAGTTCCGTACTACACGCCTAGATGTCAGCACGCCATTATTAAACTTTTTAGCTTAAAAGCTGAATAAACGCATGTATAATTGATTAAATTTCATAAATATGTGCATATTTTGAAATTAATGTTCAAGTTCAATTTGAAAAAGATATGGCCTATCGCTTTAAAATTTAGTTTACGTAGTGGCATCTATTGGGGGATAGTTGTAGTACGTCGTCTTTAGGTGGGCGTCATTGGCGGGGTGATGTGTAATTGGATCGATTGCGAATTTTTACTATAGTACCAAATCTTCTTGTCATTTAAAATTGTGCACTTGACCGAAGTGGATAAAAGTGGTTTAGCGCCATTTTTGCCTCTGTGTTCAAACTACATCTGTGATAGAGTAAGTTTTTCCTTTTTATAATCCTTTTTTTTACAAATATTCGTATTTTGAATTTTCCCTGACATTCAGTTTTTTCAAGGCTGCCCTTGGATTAAACTTTAGGCAACGTTATGTAAGAATTGTTTGATGGTGCATAGTGCAAATTTCAAAGTACCAGACCACAAAATGCAATTTTATGATGTTTAATTCAATACTCAGACTAACCGTATCTTTGATATTTTATTTTAAATCCAAATGGGAATGTAACTTATATAACCTATAAAAATCGAACATGTCATGAGTATCGTTTCATTATCGACTATGTCGATATGTATCATTAAATATGGCTAATAAGATGCAAAATTATTATCATTTCATCTTCTGTTATCTTTGAAATCATTTCGAACCTGTTTGCAATAAAGTTTAATTTTATCTCGAAGCTTTGTCACGTGTATTACGTCATCTAGTTGGCGCTGGAAGGAACCACCTTGGCCAAAGATCGTTACGAATTCCAGCACGGGATTCCGTAAAAGTTTCCACGTGGTACTTTACTAAGCTTATTTTTTTGACGTAGGAACATTCGTATGTAATCCAGTATTTTTTATCATTTATCGTATATGAGGTATAATTATGTAATCTGCATTAGATGTAATAAAGTTAATAAAGATAGAGTTTTGAAATATGTGTGAGTAACACCAAAATAATGTAGTATAAAAGTTTTTAAATGAATGGCTATGTAGATTATAATTTGTATATTTGATTTTTTACAACATGTACACATGTTTTATGATACACATTTTGTTTAAAGTCGATTTTTGAAGGTGCTTACATCACAAGGTCAAAAGGTTCTCGTGACAACGTGAGAACAGCATAGGATTTTTCACTCCAAATTTTTTATGTATAGATTCGTAATCACGTTGATGAAAACAAATTTAGTTAAATAGATTGACTTACAGTCCAGATTACATGTAATGTTTATATAACTCCTCAAAACATTGTAGGACTCTGAGTGTAAGTTTTTGATTTTTTTCTGCTGTTACAACCAAAAGAACTTGATAGATACACTTAAGTAATTTGGGGTGCTGAATACAAACACAACCATCAACAATTTGTGAAGATTTGAAGTGCCATTTTATGTTGCAACTTTTTCTAGCTTTTGTGTCGCTTTTGGGCTTTGCAATTATTTTTTAGAAGTTCAAACTAAGTTACAGATGTCCTTGCAATGCAAAGGAAGGCAGAAGGACGTTGAAATGCAGACTTATTTTCATCTTTTTAATGAAAAATTCCCCATAAATTCACAACATGATTTATGTAATTACAATAATATAAAGGTTAAAGCACAAAAAGTACAATCATCAAACCTAAGAACGGAATCACCACCTATGACAAACATTTCACCAGCTGATAAAGATATACCAATTATTACCATCCTAGAAAACCTGGGCTGACTGAGGGTGACCCCTATCCTTCTGACACTATTCTATCTTGTACTGCCTTTGGTTAAAGTCAAGCCGATGCCCTGCTGTTGCAGCTTGTAAAGCCTGTCTCTTTCCTATATTTTCTTCTGTATTTTTGCATATGAATCTGATTGATTGAAAATGATTATTTTTTTTTTCTCAATGAACTGACCACAGTTATCTTTCCAGATCTTAATTAACTCGCACAACCAAATCCGTATCTGAAAATGGGTGTACCAGCCGGAGATGTAGAAAAAGGCAAGAAGCTGTTCGTGCAGAGATGCGCTCAGTGTCACACCACAGAAAAAGGAGGTAAACACAAGGTCGGCCCCAACCTGAACGGCCTCTTCGGCAGGAAAACTGGACAGGCTGCTGGATTCTCCTACACTGAGGCTAACATCTCTAAAGGTAAGTTAAGATTTTTTAGGAACTAAATTATGCTGGATGTTTATTCAGCCTGAACTCGGTGAATTAAAGAGTTGCAGAGGCATGGAAACTCTTATTTACTTTTCTCACAACCTCGTTATACAGGGTAACTTTGAAGTTGAGTCATTAATTTTCAGATAATGATTGTAGAAGGAAGATAAACCAAAATATGTGTGTAAAAATAAAAAAAAATTTACCTTGTTTTATAAAGTATCCTCCCGACAAGTATTTCAGTGCGGACCTGTATTTGATCGTGAGGTCTTGGAGCACCGGCATGCCGTCACCTGATTCACGAGCCCGTTGTACTACATTAACAAAGGCACGAGGGGTTGGTTGCACTCGATTGAGAAACCGATCCGCATAAACATGTGCCATTTTTTATTTCGTTTGAGCCACGCAACAGAAACCACTATTCACTCACGCGTGACCGACTGACACTGACTGTATACAAATGAATAAAATAATTGTAAAAACATCGTTCCAAATTCTTTCGCTTTTTTGTTTCCGATGCGATGAACCGATAAGCCGGATTATATCCGTTGTCGCCAAACACGAGCACATAATATTATTATTGAGACAGGGCGGTACTCAAACTTCCAAAGGGCTATAACTTTGTTACTTTAATTTTACCAGAAAAATGGTAAAGGAAAAAAACATTTCTTTTGATCAGATCTACTCACTGTTAAAATAAATGACTCAACTTCGAAGTCACCCTGTATATGCTTTAACATAATTTAACACACCATCAAAAACATAACCAAGGGTACACCATATTTTTGACCAACTCAGTTGCTTTCTTATGAACACTTAAAAAATGACAGAGGTCATAAATTCTGCAACATTGCATCATTGATGCGCTTGGCAACACTGCATCTCGTACATTCGAAGGGTTGTTGCCAGGTCTGGTGAAATTTCACCAGATCTGGTGATCGGTGAAAAACTTTTTGAAAAACGGCAATATCTGGCGATTAAAATTTCATCGATTTTCAATATTTTCAAAAATCTTTCAGCTACTAAAAACTCCAACAATTACTAAATTTCTGAAGCGGTTCCGCGTATTGTATTGTTACGTATCGATCTACGGTCTGCGATATCTTTGTATTGTATAATAATTCAAGATAATACAAACATCAGTCATAAATCAAAGAGCATTTCTTCCATATTTTTTTTCTCAGGTATCACGTGGAACGACGATACGTTATTCGAGTACCTGGAGAACCCGAAGAAGTACATTCCCGGCACCAAAATGGTGTTCGCCGGCCTCAAAAAGCCTCAGGAACGTGCCGACCTCATCGCTTACCTCAAATCAGCGACCAAGTAGACGAAAACACCTCGCGCGTTTTCACATCTCTAACATCAAACCTGTTTGACAAGTCGTAGTTTTCCGTACAGTGTACAAAGTTTATTTCTTAGGTTAATTCTTAATTTGAGAAGGGCTCACAGTGTGTTACCTAAATAATGATAAAGCTCTATTTTTAGGTCAACTGGAAGTCGAAGAATATACCCCACTTTGTACTTCAATGCTCCTATCATTTCACTTGTAGCTGCAAATTGCATCATTTGTTTCAAAAGTCAACAACGAATTTTGTTTTTTGGTACTATTTCCGGGCAACATGTTGTGAGGTCCTTGCTGTAACTCATCATCCAATTTATGTGATTTTCCACATATTCTTGAGAGCATGGTAGAGGTAAATGTGATGAATCACCACTAAATGTGACTTCATGACACCTATTTATGTCACATTTACCGGGTTTTTTTTTAAATCTTGTTATACTAACGAGACTATAAAAAAATCATCACATTTGCCCCGAGTGTTGAGTTAATGTTTTCCGTACAAAGTGCGGCGAACGTTACGCTCAGTTAGCCAATTCTGCAAATTATTTATTTTAGATGTACAGTGTGAAACTTTTTATTTATTGTTGCTGTTTCACGTAAAAATGAAATATAACATGTTTAAGATCAGCAGCGTTTTATTTTCTGCGTCAAAAAAAAGTATTTTAAAAAAACTCGCAGTTCAACAAGCTCACAGTCAACTCCCAAAAAGTGTTACATTTATCACTAAAAAAGTGACTTTTGGGGTTTCTCTGCAAGAAAATGTTATCCAAACACGCCAAAGAAAACACTTGTTTTCCTGTTTCAAACTCTTTGTTCACGAACAAAAGCTATTGGTCGTCTTTTTCTGCTATTGCTATGGGATCTGGGGCTTAGGTTTGGGTGACAAAAAAACACCAAAGTAACAACTGTTGTATTTATTTATGGCAATTATAGGTTTAGGATTATCTCAGGTAACATAGATCTGATTCTAACAACATTTACAAAAATCGCTATTTATACATATAGAATCTGAACAAGCACATGGAACAAATATCAACGAGTTTCACAAAGGAATGATCAATTGTACTCATATAAGTGCTGGAAATAAGCATTTACACCTTTTGTCACATATTCAAACTATTTTCAAGAAATCATAAATTAACATCGCTAGAAATTAAAATTTACATCTTTAGTAACGTGCCGCTTAAACCTAACGCGAACGTCCAGTATTTGCTAGCTTACGATAATACACGGGTTTCAGAAGGTGGCAATATCACTAGGGTACAAAATAAAAATGTTAAAGATACACGGTGTCGTTCGTCCGATTTTGCTCCCGCTAGGTGGCGCTAGTGTTGGTGGGGGGTCAAAGCTGTCAAACGTAGACACGAAAAACGACAGATTTGACAGGACGGTGATTGCAAAAAAAGGCATCGTGATGAAACGAGGTTATTCCTTAGTTATGCCTGTGATTGCTACACGCAACTCTTTTGTGGTACAACGTCAACTTTAATAAATATGATTCAAATATAAGTAAATACTTAAATGAGAATAAAAACGTACCCGATTATTTTTCAAGTTCTGCAAGAAAAATGTTTATCTCAATAAAAATTTATATCGTTGTTTTTGCAAAAAACTTTGTCACAAGCGACACGAAAGAAAAATACATAAAAGTTATATTCATGGATTGACGGTTCACATACAGTAACCGCAAATAAATGGTCGAAACAGCGGACAGTAGGAAGTAACTCAAGCATATATATACAAGCAATAAGGACTCTTTTTACTTTATTAGTCTCTAGCTTTCAATGGACTATGCCGTCATCATCACGAGCTACAATAACATTAAGAAGGAATAGCAACTATTGTGCAAAATGATTTTAAATTACTTACTACAATATTATGTGAGATTGTTGCTAAATGTTATTAAAGGTTAAGTTGAGGGAAACATTTAGCAACAATCTCACATACTATTGTAAGTAATTTAAAATAATTTTGCACAATAGTTAGTATTCCTTGTTAATGTTATTGTAGCTCCTGATGATGATGGCATGGTCCATTGAAAGCTAGAGACTAATAAAGTATAATAAAGAGTCCTCATTGCTTGAATCTTGTCGAAGTACCCAACTAAAGGTGGAAGCTTTATTTTTCACCTAACTGGTCTAGACGACTAATAGACTGTAGAAAATTTTTAAAATACCCAATTCCTGCAAAATCCAATAAAGGTCTCTTTGAAGTTATAGGTAATTTCTGTGCTATTTCTGAACTTACTTTACTCAGGTAGCTACGGTAATCTCACGATTCCTTTCCAACACCGTCTTATAATAGATAACTTGCAGTACCTCCTTGTTAGGAATATTGCCACCGTTTTATTCAAACAGATAAATCGAATCAATCAGCTGGACACCTTCCCCTCCCCACCTAGTTATCCCCCGAGGATGCGTCCGTAGGCGTGGCGACCTCATCAAAGATCTTCTGGACCTCCTGGTAGACCTCCTCCTCGCCCTTGGTGGCGTCTATCCTCCGCACGTGGTCGCTTTTCGCGTAGAAATCGATAATGGGCTTAGTTTCGTTCAGGTAAGTGTTGAACCGCTTTTTCAGGCTTTCCGGGTTATCGTCCGATCGCCCACTACCGCTTGCGCCGCGTTTCAGGCAGCGCTCTAGGCACACCTACAAGAAGGCGATTAAAAATGGCGTCAAGCAGATTGACTCTATACTAACAGAATAATCAGTGAGTTTACACAAAGATCATGATAGTTATTAGTTATGCTAAAAAATAATGCCAAACAATTGCTTTTTCTAATCTGGTAGGAACCTTGTCACATCACTCATTGTGTAAATGTTTTTCACTGGTAAAACACCCAGTTATTGTATGAACATATTCTTATCAGAAAAAAAGTATGTCTAATAAGAAAAAAACAGTTTATTCCTAAACCCAATTTTTATAGGTATTATTTCAAAGGTTTGAGAACCTCGTCAAGAAAAATGCGGGGTTTTTATCCCTGAAATTAACTAAATTTTGAGCTGATAGAGAAATGTGTTAGAATTGTTGCTCAAAATGCACTCGCATTAAAAATGAAAGTTGAAGTAAATCCATACACAACTAGAATAAGACTTTAACTGTTGTTTTTAATGGGTCATTTTAGATTTTCATGTATGTTATGTTAAATATTTGAACATGGGTAAAGTTTAAACAAAAATGACAAAATTGTGAACTTTGGGCTTTAAAAAACAATAAATTACTAAAGCAAATAGGAAAATACTTTTTCTGTAATTTTCTTGAGTAATTTTAAATAAAAATAAATGTTCAACTTCTTGAAACTATAGTTCTTGTATTTGTAACTATTTCAACTATTATCCCTTTATTTGGATATTTCTTTTTACCTCTAATGGACAATCAAAGAACAGGACAAACTGCATATCAACTCTGTCTCCTAGTTGACGTCTCCATCCGTCCAAGTTGTCTTGGTTTCTGGGAAAGCCATCTATGAGAAATTTCTCCTTACCAGACTCTTTCATTGCTGTTTCTAGCAAGCTACAGGTAATTTCTACAGGAACTATTGTACCTGAACCGGAAAGAAAATGAAATCATAAAATTGTGGAATAAATTATGACCACATATTACAAAAAGCAAACCGAAAATTATTGGAAAACCTTCAGGATGAAGGTCTCAAAAAAATATATGCCATATTTCTTTGATGTAGATTTCTCTATAAATAACCACATATTTCTACTGGATTTTAAATTGTAAATTAATAAATTTTCACATGTTTCATCTCAAATTTATTCTGTGGATGTTTTTTCGGTTGAGACATGTACATCCATTTTTTATATTATAGTATATAAAATGTGAGTTGCTATGTACTTTGTAATTTGTACTGTTGCTTGATTCAATTTCTGGCAAATTATGAATTGATAAACTAACAAGATTATTAAACAGAATCCTTACAAGTATCGTTTAAGTATAATTGAATTTATTCAATTTTCTTATACATGTTTGTCTGAGAAAAATTACACACTCTCAAAATTACAAGAAATAGTACATAAGATGAATAGTGTTCATTGATAGCATACACATTAACAAGGATTTTTTTTAAAGTGATAAACTCCAAAATGACGATTCAATTATTTACAGTAAATTGTTAGATAAAGCGAACGAGAATCTCAAGGCTGTGGGAACACTTGTAAGCGCATAATGAGATATAATTGAAAGAACTAAAAAAACTATTAACGTCACTTGCATTTGAAACACGCCACCAAAATGCAAACGCTTTTTGCAGCATTTTTTACACAAATTATCAAAAGCCCTTATCATGGGGGTTGAATACAAACCATTTCTGATGTGCCCCTCGATCAGTTCCCCCAATTTGGAGCCCGACCTCTGTCTCTCGGCCCTAAGCAGGTCCCCTGCGGACAGATGCACGTAGCCGTAATTCTGTACGATACGCTGGCACTGCGTACCCTTTCCGGCCCCAGGGCCTCCCAGGACAAACACCACTTTCGGAGCCATGTCCACAAACAAATTTAATCGGCGACAAACCGCGGTCGACACGGCCGTCAGATAAACACCTGCGGCTGACAGCAGTGGTGTCATTGCCATGATCGATGATGTCGCGGATGACGTTTTGTTAGCATGATTACAGGAATCTACCTTACCACAGACTTATGTGCGTCATCTGTTGTCACCACTGTGAATTGACTGTTAGACAGACTAGCAAACTGTAGGTCTTTTAAGTGAAACGTGTAATGAATATATATCGACTAGAAGACTATCCGTAGCTAAATTTTTCTCGAAATCGTTGCACAACACTTAAAAATATGCAAATGAATATCGGAAACCTGCCGCTTTAACGTACTAAATGACTCCGTTATTACCCCGGGATAGACATACGTTTTGAAAGTTGTCCCAGTCATTCTTGTCACCTGGGTTGCGGCGTTGCCAGCTCATCAGACGATTTTGCTACTTCTGCTATTTTGCTATCTCCAATTCCTTGGTTTAAAAATAGTTTTTTGTTCGATGCCTTGATAGAAGTTTTGAGAATTTTCAGAAATGAATCTAAGTACATAAGAATACTTACAAGAACGTTAGATTAGAGCACGTTTCTGTAAAATGAGAAACTATAAAAACACGTTTATTTATAACTAAAAAAACAAATGTAACGTGGTACATCGTTGAAGTCGTGGAAAAAGATGCTAATTGATACAGGGTAGTACTTTTTTAAGAACACCGTTATGTAGTGCCTAAATAGTGCCATTAGTTTTTCCATTTCTTAAAATAAAGTCAGACAAAAGTAAAAACGTTTTGGCCACATTTTAGTTTTTTCCAGATACCTCAGTATATGCGATGTGCGCAATTTATTTAAAAAACATAGGATGTCAACCCTAACACAAGTAGATGAGAATGCAAGGCTCACCTACTTTGCTGCACAGATATCCTGTTTTACTCAGAAGAGTTGGAAGTAGACCTAATTTCCACTTTGGAGACACTTGACACCCACGTCACGACACTAAGCCCCGTATCGTCAGTCGTCCCTACAATTGTAGGGCGCCTTTATGGCCCCCTTGATTGTCATAGTTTTTTAATTCTCCGTGTCAGAACTCTATTTTTAGGTTATGTCACAAACATCTACTTGCATCAAATTGTGCTTGCTTTTGAGTTATATCATGTTTTATCAGCCTGAAATTTCCTACAATTTAAACAGAAAACATATCTTCATAATAGGAGAGCGCTGACGCTGACACGGGACAAGTGTAATCTAGAAATTTTTGAAGGAGAGAAAGGAGTATGACAATCAAGGAGGCCATAAACGCGCCCTACAATTGTAGGGACAACTGACGACACGGGCCTGAAACACCAAAGCACCACTGAGAGACAATACAGAAACCTATAGTGAACACCACTGCTGAAAAAAGTCGCTTAACCGAATAGAGCTCTGCACGGAGCTGTGAACGCGTAGACATTCCGATGCGCGGACGGTTGTCGAGAGACTGAAGCGTGCGAGTGCTGTACCTCGCTGCGGCGATACGGTACGGCCGGGTAGTACAGCTGGCAATGCCGCAATCTGGGTGACAAGAATGACAAGGTCAACTGCCAAAACGTATGTCTATCCCGGGGTAACAACAGAGTCATTTAGTACGTCAAAGCGACAGTTTTCCAATCTTCATTTGCATGTTTCAAACGATGTGCAACGATTTCGAGAAAAATTTCGCTACGGATAGTCTTCTAGAGTCTAGTATTGAAAACTTTCAAACTACAAACCCGACTCATAGATCGTGAAAAACGCTTAAGTGTTGACACCTATTCAGGTACCACCCTATTTGAACGAATATCTAAGAGATGGCGCCACGGGACCAATATTGTAGTGCTATCTAGTACAAAAATTGTCAACTAATAAAATAAATAGAAGTAAAAATCTCTACCAGTTTTAGCAAAACTATAATCAACGAATAATAGATGGCACTAAACGTGAATTTATTTTAAATAACCTATACTGGGGTGTAATTCTAAATGAATTTCGACTGTTGAAATTAATTTCGATGTCTCTTTCGTCATTCATAGAAGCCGCGATGATAGTTTTGACATCTGATTCTAGCGATTTTTCATAGTATCAAATTAATCATAGTGTAACAAATATATTATGCGCCATCAAAACTAATTTCAATGGTCGAACTTCAATTAGGATCGGGTTTTTGTAGTGATTAAAAAAAAATTTCCTAAATTAAAAAAGTCCACCAATGTAAATTACGTAAATTATATTACTAAAAAAAATACAAATAGGTACAACATAATCTTACACTGGAAAAGGTACATATTTTCTATATCATACCCTATTGATACTCATTTTTATACAAAACGTATATAAAAAATCGGTAATAAAATAGACTTGAGACGCTGTATAATGATATGTACAATAAAAGGCGTCTCAGTGACTAGCATGAGATGATCTTAAACATTAACCATCATTATTTTGAGTCGAAAAACCTTCTCGGTCACAACTCCGTCGTGATCTCATCCTGTGGCCTGAAGCCCAACTGGCAGAAATCATCGTCCAAAAAGAGTGACCCGTTGAGGTACTCCTTGCTATTCCTCCATAGAGCAGGATCAAACTCGGAGGAGTTATTGGCGACCAACGAGTACTCAAACTTCCACTGCGGGTTCAGAGGCTGATGGAACTTTGAGTCGTAGTTGCTGGTGAAGTTATCGATGGCCACATCTTGTAGGCTCAGGCGGGAGCAGCCTTCCATGGCTGACAGGCTTGGCTGAAGATCAGGCTTGAACGTGCTTAAGGTGGTACTACCTGGAAAGATATAATAGTGTAGCGTTTTTCCGGGTTCTTTTGCGTGCTGCTTCCATCTCCCGGCCGCCGAGTTATATATAGTCCCCATTGCTGCTTCAAGAAAGGTCTGGTGAACCACAAAGCGACATCTAGAATATTGGAGGTCACTTCGCGTCGATCTAGAAGGCGATCCACTGTTACGGTCCTCACAGACGCCGCCAAGCGGTTCGTGTAAAAGCAGATATCGGCCTTGAAGCTCTGGCGAGTAGGAGACTCGCCCAACAGATGGCGCCAACAGTACCATTTGTCACAATAGCTTCGGGCTCGAGTTGGGTTTTATCGCATTTTTACTACTAGGAGGGGAATTTATGAAACTGTGGGGCCTTAAGAAAAGATTGAGGTACGGATAATCTCGAAACTTGTAGTTTTCCTAATTTTTGTGACTTGATAAATGATATTGTTTTAACTTTCACTGGAACTTACCCCTAAGTGAGTATTCTGAAGGGTCCGTAGGTCCCTGTAGGAAATTGATGAGCTGAGCTACTTGAGGATGGTTCGAAGTGCCGCTCATGCGTTTGTACCTGTTCAGTGCCTTTTCGGCCCAGCCGAAAAGATGCTCCCAGTCATCTGGGACTGCGATTTTGTCTATAGGACGGTTCAGCAGAAGCAGGATCTTCGCTAGATCCCTAACAACCTTCAAAAAGACATTAGTATTATAACTACAAGAATGTTCTTCTAGAACCCTCTCAGAAACTACGGTTTACAATGACTGAACGAAACTCAGTACACTGGGTGAAAATACTGTGTGTCGTGAAGCCTTAGTATAAACTGGTGTACTCAATCTAAGTAAACGATTCAATAAAAAAATAAGGGAACATTATTTTTGAAACAACCCTCGTAGTTAAACTTGTTAGCTGTCACATATATCCCAGTTCACGAGTATCCATTACGGAGGTGATTCATTGCCTTATTCTAAGCAAAAAAAACTTATTTCTTTTTAGTCATGAAATAAATTAATTTTGCACCTTAATAATTTAATTTCGTATGCCTAATAGCGTAAAATGTATCAATACATCCATTTTTTAATTAGCTGTCTCTAACCAAATAATATTCTTGCTTATTAAATACAATTTTCCGAAGAAAAACAGCCAAACAAAATCCCTCACACAACCGGCAACGTCGTACTCCGCCTGCAATGCATGTATCATCGCGTGTTGTTGTGATTACTAATACATTCAACTGCAACTTTATGTGATTTACGGATGTTGTTTTTTCTTTTTTCAAGCATCGCATCGTTTCAAATAAGTGACTGATAATCGTGGGAATCGGTGGTGTGTGTCGCTACGTACCGGTAAGTTCTGTCATTTTTTTTAAAGTAAGTACTGAAAGCGTTATTAGATAAAAAATACTAGCCACAAAAAATTGCGTAAAAGTATTCAATAATTCAAGGCATATTTTCAACAAAAATATCATACAAACGTAAACAATTCGATGAATCATGTTGCGGTCCTCGCGCGCTCGTATCGCGGTTGCGTTGCAGCGTTGCCAAATGTTTGAGAAAATTTAATTATTTACGACTCACTTTCATCGAAAACGATTGATTTTCGGACATAAGTTATAATGAACGGTTCAGCAGAAGCAGGATCTTCGCTAGATCCCGAACAACCTTCAGAAAGACATTAGTATTATAACTACAAGAATCTTCTTATAGAATCATCGCAGAAACTACGTTTTACAATGACTGAACGAAACTCCGTACACTGGATGAAAATACTAAAGAGTCGTGAAGCCTTAGTATAAACTGGTGTACTCAATCTAAGTAAACGATTCAATAAAAAAATAAGGGAACATTATTTTTGAAACAACCCTCGTAGTTAAACTTGTTAGCTGTCACATATACCCCATTTCACGAGTATCCATTACGGAGGCGATTCCTTGCCTTATTCTAAGCAAAAAAAAAATTTTCTTTTTAGTCATGAAATAAATTAATTTTGCACCTTAATAATTTAAATTCATATGCCTAATAGCGTAAAATGTATCAATACATCCATTTATTAATTAGCTGTCTCTAACCAAATAATATTCTTGCTTATTAAATACAATTTTCCGAAGAAAAACAGCCAAACAAAATCCCTCACACAACTGGCAACGTCGTACTCCGCCTGCAATGCATGTATCATCGCGTGTTGTTGTGATTGCTAATACATTTAACTGCAACTTTATGTGATTTACGGATGTTGTTTCTTCTTTTTTCAAGCATCGCATCGTTTCAAATAAGTGACTGATAATCGTGGGAATCGGTGGTGTGTGTCGCTACGTACCGGTAAGTTCTGTCATTTTTTTTTAAGTAAGTGTACTGTACTGAAAGCGTTATTAAATAAAAAATACTAGCCACAAAAAATTGCGTAAAAGTATTCAATAATTCAAGGCATATTTTCAACAAAAATATCATACAAACGTAAACAATTCGATGAATCATGTTGCGGTCCTCGTGCGCTCGTATCGCGGTTGCGTTGCAGCGTTGCCAAATGTTTGAGAAAATTTAATTATTTACGACTCACTTTCATCGAAAACGATTGATTATCGGACATAAGTTATAATTAACTTTTTTACTTAGAATAATGCAACGAATCACTCCTTAATGTTACGGATAAGTGACTGATAATCGTGGGAATCGGTGGTGTGTGTCGCTACGTACCGGAAAGTTCTGTCATTTTTTTTTAAGTAAGTGTACTGTACTGAAAGCGTTATTAAATAAAAAATACTAGCCACAAAAAATTGCGTAAAAGTATTCAATAATTCAAGGCATATTTTCAACAAAAATATCATACAAACGTAAACAATTCGATGAATCATGTTGCGGTCCTCGTGCGCTCGTATCGCGGTTGCATTGCAGCGTTGCCAAATGTTTGAGAAAATTTAATTATTTACGACTCACTTTCATCGAAAACGATTGATTTTCGGACATAAGTTATAATGAACTTTTTTACTTAGAATAATGCAACGAATCACTCCTTAACGTTACGGATATTATTTCCCTAGCACCCTGCATAGTAATATCTCAAAATTCCCCATATCGACACAGGACACATAAGTCTGACGGATCCGTGAACGCCCGGTAAACAGAGCCGTATTTTGTTTTGGTTTTTTGTACTTGGTAACAGCTCTTTTATTTAAAAAAGTTTATTTGCATACAAAAAACAAAACGTCACAAACAGGTTTTACAAGATTTATAGCCGATTCAATATTGCCATACTCGTGAAATAGTGTATAGTTAATTACATCTTTAATTGGCTTAATTAAAATTTTAATTGATTTAATAATTTTTTTGTTCAACTTTTATGAATCTGTGGCATTAAAATTCCCTTCAAATGCCTTCATAGAGACAAACTAATCTCTGAATTGGACTCAACGACTGCGAAAACCTATATGGTACGCATCTGGACTCGAACACTGGACTTATTTTGAATTTGTCCTTGATGTGACCTTGAAATGACCTTCAGACAGTAACTAATTGACCTCTGATTCGGACTTAGTGAACAGAAAAACCTAAACGACTGTTCGGCTTCTTTTAAAAACTTTCTTGATATGACCTTAAAATAACCTCCAAATCCGTAGAGACAGACTAACCCCAAATTTGAAATCAGCGGCACGAAAATCACCTGAACATCGTACAAATGCCGTAGAAATTGCGTTTTTTGTCAGCTTTTCGGTGTTCTGGACCACTGTTCCACGATCTCAACGTAAATAAAAATAGGGCGACAAAGGTGATGAAAACATTCGAACATTTTTACGCTTACCGGCCTATAAGCAGAAATGGCGCCGTTATCCCCTTCCCTATGCAGTTCTCTGATCTGCCTCCTGGTATCATTGAGCATATCCAGGTAGTTATCAGCGTACGGCCTCAACGTCTCCAGCTGCTTGAGGAAGTCTTTTTTCTCGGGAGAGTCGTCGATGTCGGAAGCAGTGTCGCTGATGACAGGCATCTTTTTTCGTCTGTATTTTATGTATACCACTGCCGTCGAGATGAAAACCACGCATAGGATCGTGCCTGTCGCTACGCCTACTATTACTGCTAGGGCGTTCGTTGAAAGACCTGGAAAAAATGTTGACCTAAGCCGGAAGCAGAGCAAAACAAAGAAAATGACATCAAGTAGTACAGTGCAATTTAAATCCTATGAGAACAAAGTCAGTTAGAAATATGTAGAACAGGGAAATCAAACGCATTATATCAGTCAAACAGTAGTATACAATTAGTCCATAGACATTATTTCCCTGTCCCATAGGTAGTTACCGTCCATCTGGCAACGTTGTTCTTTCCACATCTGCGCGAAATCCCTGCGCAGCGGGTTATCGTTCATTTCGTGCATGGTCCGTGTGTATGTTTTCAGCGCGTCAGTACAGATACGATCTATCGGTGCGCGGGTCGAAAACATTTATCATTCTATGTTTTTAAGGGCAAATGTATATTCGTATAGATATACTAAGTGCAGTCTATAAACCATATACAGGGTGACTTCGAAGTTGAGTCATTTATTTTAACAGTGAGTAGATCTGATCAAAAGAAATGTTTTTTTCCTTTACCATTTTTCTGGTAAAATTAAAGTAACAAAGTTATAGCCCTTTGGAAGTTTGAGTACCGCCCTGTCTCAATAATAATAGTATGTGCTCGTGTTTGGCGACAACGGATATAATCCGCCTTATCGGTTCATCGCATCGGAAACAAAAAAGCGAAAGAATTTGGAACGATGTTTTTACAATTATTTTATTCAGTTGTATACAGTCAGTGTCAGTCGGTAACGCGTGAGTGAATAGTGGTGTCTGTTGCGTGACTCAAACGAAATAAAAAATGGCACATGTTTATGCGGATCGGTTTCCCAATCGAGTGCAACCAACCCCTCGTGCCTTTGTTAATGTAGTACAACGGGCTCGTGAATCAGGTGACTTAAGACCTCACAGGGGACGGCATGCCGGTGCTCCAAGACCTCACGATCAAATACGGGTCCGCACTGAAATACTTGTCGGGAGGATACTTTATAAAACAAGGTAATTTTTTTTTATTTTTACACACATATTTTGGTTTATCTTCCTTCTACAATCATTATCTGAAAATTAATGACTCAACTTCAAAGTCATATTATATATTCATATTATATAAATGAAGTTTTGTCACATTAAGTCCCTACTAGTCATCTTCCGTGATTCTCAGATTTATCAAAGTCTCTAAACAATTTCAATAGCGCAGTAAGCCATGACAATACGCTGCAGGGTTGCCAAGTTTTCAGTCACGTAAGGATCCAAGTTTTTATGAGAAACTCACCAGAAATCTGTGCCTTGTTTATAAACGCCATTATATACCATTATACAGGGTGACTTTGAAGTTGAGTCATTAATTTTCAGATAATGATTGTAGAAGGAAGATAAACCAAAATATGTGTGTAAAAATAAAAAAAAAATTTACCTTGTTTTATAAAGTATCCTCCCGACAAGTATTTCAGTGCGGACCTGTATTTGATCGTGAGGTCTTGGAGCACCGGCATACCGTCGCCTGTGAGGTCTTAAGTCACCTGATTCACGAGCCCGTTGTACTACATTAACAAAGGCACGAGGGGTTGGTTGCACTCGATTGGGAAACCGATCCGCATAAACATGTGCCATTTTTGATTTCGTTTGAGCCACCCAACAGACACCACTATTCACTCACGCGTTACCGACTGACACTGACTGTATACAACGGAATAAAATAATTGTAAAAACATGGTTCCAAATTCTTTCGCTTTTTTGTTTCCGATGCGATGAACCGATAAGGCGGATTATATCCGTTGTTGCCAAACACGAGCACATATACTAATATTATGATTGAGACAGGGCGGTACTCAAACTTCCAAAGGGCTATAACTTTGTTACTTTAATTTTATCAGAAAAATGGTAAAGGAAAAAAACATTTCTTTTGATCAGATCTACTCACTGTTAAAATAAATGACTCAACTTCGAAGTAAGGATTTATTATAAATTAATTATCGCCAATTTGCTGGCTACGGGGCGCCACTAAACTAGCCAATCGCCAAGATATCCATTTTAGTCGCAATTTGAAGCCGTCATATCGCCACCTTGGCGAAAAATCGCCACCCCTGGCAGCCCCGATACGCTGTATCTCTCCCGGACACGCTGAAAAACACGCGTCGATATTTCGCGGAATTTTTCACAGTAGGCTGTGACTTTTAAGTGGGTTCGAGAGTTTGACGTTTCTTCTATCCGATACGAAACGCATTTCGAGTACGACATTACGCGCAAAGAAAGGAAAATGTCGATTTTGGTAAAATGAAGGATGGCGATTTTTCATTTTTCGGTGTCCATTGTCCATGTTTTTATAGATATTTCTGAGTCGCAATTCTTGTATAGATTTTGTGTATTGAATATATTTGCATGCACTGACTGATTTCGGTTGAAAAGCTTAAGTATTCTACTCTATACGAAAGCCTCTGAAACATGTCCTGTGTCGCCTGCTTTTTATAAGACTTTATCAGTTTTCCACAATTAAAAATACACACAAAAGCATTGCGGAAATGACCACACACACACACACACACTAGCTCATCTTTTTGCGATGTTTTAAGCATATCCCTCGTGTAATTTCTCATGGTACTTACCTAGAAAATTGCCGTTATGTTGGCACATTTCCCCTATATAATCGACAACGGTGCTCCATTTTCTGATATGACCGAACGGGCAGGTATCTACACATCTCCGGGTGTGCATTACGATGAGGTTTTGACATTTCACACATCCTCTGGGACTGCATCGGAGGCATGACGGGTCTGAAGAACATTCTGAAAAAAAAAATGGTTTTGTATAGTCTTGTGAAAATTAGCGATTGATTGTTTTCCCCATCTATCCAATGGTGGTCTTGGATTGGACCTTGATCATGACGTTCAAGGTCATCTCAAGGTCAAGCCGACCTTTTTAAACGGAACCCCGGATTGAATGAAAACGTACAAGGTCATTTCAAGGTCAAGTCGACCTTTTTAAATGGAACCCCGGATTGAATGAAAAGAGCAGACCATTTCTGATTTTTGACCTCATGAGGTCAAACCCAGGTAGGTTGAAAGCCAGTAGTCGTATAGGGAAATTACCGAGACATTATTTACACGGGATATTTAATGTTCCGATTGAGAAAATAGGATGTTTAAAACAATAATATTCAAGTTCTGACATATGGAGAGTCATGCACAGCAAGCATGATGATAAATTGATCGTGCAAATACAGATTAACGTGTGCAAGTGCATTATTACGTAGCCGATGATTCATCGATTCACTGTATTAATTTTCTATGCCCATTTAACTTTACTAAATACTCTGTATAACGCAAAACAGTGATTGCATATCGTGCACTGCGAAATAGGATGGGGAAATACCATGCGCGTAGGCGTATACATATTCAACTCAAAAATAGTTAATTTTTGGATAAGGCATGATAGGACACAATCGGTTGCTTTTGACCTAATCTATCACCCATTAACAGGAATACGTGACATTACAAGTCACCCTGTATATCTACTTCATCTGGCATCAAACGCAAATTATAACAGTCTTAAAAATTGATTATAGAATAGAATGGCAATACTGCACAAGCACAAGTGCATACGTAATATAATCCCGTTCACACGATTATTTGCCCAGTGAAATGTTAAAGTGGACAAGTACACCTTTTAATTTCTTCGACAAAAAGCACATTTTGCATTTCTGAATTCAGAATATTCAAAAATTGGAAACCGAGGAGAATATTTTTTTTTTTACATCGAAACAGCCGCGCAGGCAGAAGCCTAAATGCCGGAACACCGCGGCTGCTATGATGATCCCAAAGAAATTTTGTTAATACGATTTTTGAACTGCCTAAGGTCAGTAGAACTGGGAAAAGCTTCCTCCCGTAGATTGTTCCACAATCTAGACACCCTCGGGACAAAGGAGCGGTCGTATCGGCCAGTTCTGGATGTACGAAGTTTGACACGGTTAGGATGGGACGCCGAAGTCAGGCGGGTCTGTCTGGCAGGCACATCGCGCGGCGGCATCATGGAAGAGAGCTCTGAGGAGCAAAGCCCGTTGGTGTAGCGATAGAAAAGAGCTAGATCGCCGACGGCCCGCCGGTGCGAAAGAGTCCCGAGACTGTCTGTTAGAGAAGAGTCATCGATCAGTCGGGCCGCCCTCCTCTGGACAGCATCGAGCATGGACAATGTAGTCGGGGCGGCAGCACCCCAAATGTGTGAGCAATACTCGAGGCTAGGCCTTATCTGGGCCTTGTATAGAGTGAGAAGGTCATGCGGAGAAAAGTACTTCTTATCCCTAAACAAATAGCCTAGCTTTTTCCCAGCAGCTGCAGCTATTGAAGAGATGTGTTCGTGCCAGATCAGGTCCTCGGTGATCTGGACTCCGACCAGCCGAAATGAATGGCTCTTTGGTAGAACTCGACCGTCCATCGAAACTGTATGAGCGCTAGGCCGCTTTTTGTTCGTCAAAGTACAGTACTGGGTTTTGGAAGCATTGAACTGTACAAGATTGTTGCGTCCCCAAACAGTGATAGCCTCCAGGTCTCTTGTCAGAGAAGAAGTCGTCGCTAGTCTTCTTTTTTCCAGCTCAGCGGCAGATATCGGCTTGTCACTCTGAATTCCTGCATGTAGAGTGCTGTCATCAGCGAAGCTGTGGATTGGGTTGATCGTGCAGGAAAGGAGGTCGTTGATATGTAAGAGAAACAGTGTTGGAGCCAAGACCGATCCCTGGGGAACACCCGCGTTGACGTTGTGGGATGAAGAGGAGAATCCGTCAATTACGACGGATATCTTGCGGCCAGAGATAAAGTCAGCCACCCATCTGCAAAATGTTGACAGAATTCTCTACTCCAGCTGCGAAAATAGCGGATGTCTAGGCTTTCAGGCGTTTTTTAGATAAAATACCAAATAGCTCAACAACTAATAATCAAAACCCATAAGTATTTTATATTAAAATTCTTTTTGTATAGCGTCGATCCGAATATGTAATAAAAAATAGGACATTCCTTTTGAGAAAAATCTATTTTGATATGTGCGTCAAACTTGGGACACCCTGTACAATTGAGGGTGTCCCTAGAAACCACGTGAGTAGCTCAGATGCAGCTACGGACAACCAAATGACTCGAGCGAGTTCGAACTTGTACTGAAGACGGATCACATGTTCCGCTATGACCCCTCTAAGTTCGGCGCTTCCAGTGTTGCCAGATCGTACGCTACGTTGCCAGTATCATCACTTAACTTCCAAACCGCATAAAACTCTTTTTGGACCTAATCTGAGTTACATATTATGTATAATAACCTATAGTTTTCTTCGAAAAGTATCTGTTTGGAAACAATATTCTGTCCCAGCATGGAATTGCCATCCTGGATTTCACAACGTCTGACAACATCGCTAAACATTCGTTAGTCCTGAATTTTCTCAAAGCTTAGCGAGTCTATTTAGCATGCTCGGAAGTAACGTCGGACACTAAATGAAAGTGAACCTATTTGGGTTGTACACGCTCATGGGACCAACGCTATGTACTCTTCCATCATATTTTTCACGCATTAGTTCACAGATAAGAATTGAAATGGAAAATTAATGGGAATATTGTTTTCGCGTTCTTTTGTATTGTTTATAAAATGATTGCATGCATAAAGATTAATTGGGTGCATCGATAATGATATGGCAGGCGTCTAACGATCCACTCTATCAACGACTTATTAATATGCACTTTTTCTCAGAATAACGAGCTAATTCTGATAGTTTGTGCAACAATGTACCATCCACAGCAAATGGTGGGTTTTAAGTAAGTAGAACACTATTTTTAAATTGTGGGGCATCTAGGAATAAGCGGCGACCCGACAAGTACTTGTCGCCACCACCCGATGGCGCCACTATCGCAAGGGAAATTAGTATTCTTTATCTGAAGTCACTTGAAACACTGTGAAATACCGGGTGCGTTTTATATATCTATATTTAACACGCTCTGTTGCTGCAAAAATCGCCAAATTTCGCAGCAAATATCCCCCGTATGAGATCAAAGGCAGTTTCACCGGTCCACGTGGAGTAAAGCACGCCTATGCGTGGACATAGCCAATGAGAAAGCGTGTATTTCAGAGCTCCGAACAAGTGCAGGTGGCTACTGAAAATTGAAACAGTTTAGCCAGTGCCGTGTAGCGGTGAATAAACTTGTTTTCTTTAGTCTGTCCGTGTTTTTTCATAGATTTTATTAGTTTGTGTGTTTTTCACTTTTGAATACTCAGTTTACTTGTTGATTTAATTGTTGTGTTGATTGTTCTTGTGTGTCCTAAATATGGCTCTTTGGAGACCTTGGGAAAATGCTCCAAGCCACGAGGAGATGGTTGATGAACCTGTGCAGGCAGAATTCTTTCATAAAGATTTAGAGGAACAGACCCAAAGAGTAATCCTAAATATGTATGATTGTCTGAAAAACGAAAATCCAGATACCTCGCAAAATCAAATTTTAAACAGAATTTGTATTCTGACAAAAATCAGTCGGTCTACCATTTATCGGGTTATAAAAAGGGGAGATGTAGTCAACCATTCCTTCCACAGTAAGCGCATAGGGCAAAAATTAAAAAGAATAGACGTGGGTTTTCAGGAAGATATTCGTCGTATAATATACGGATTTTATAAAGAAAATTTGGTGCCCACGTTGGAAATGATACGGGATAAATTAAAAGATTATCCTGAAGATTTTTATAATTACAAATGCTTAGACTCACTGCACTGTATTGTAAAACTGTCTGGTTTTCAATACAAAAAATTAGATAAAAGAATGGTGATTATGGAGTCGTCTCGAATCGTTGAATTGCGCCAAGAATTTTTGCACAAAGTTAAAATCTATAGAGAGCAGAAAAGAAATCTGATTTACCTGGATGAAACGTGGTATGATACCCATGATGTTGTGCAGTACCGCTGGGTTGACGACAGCAACAAGTGCATTTTAAATGCACCATGCAACCGTGGAAAACGAATCGTTATTCTCCATGCTGGCAGTGAAAATGGATTTATACCTAATGCCTTGCTGTTATCTGCCAAAAATATCAAAGAATCATGTGCCGACTATCATGAGGACATGACCTCCGACTTATTTGAAAAGTGGATAGAGCAGCAGTTAATACCAAACATTTCCCCAAATTCAGTGATTATTATGGACAATGCGCCATACTATTCCCGACAGAAAAACAAAATTCCGAATACAGGCACAAACAAACAAGACATTATTGATTTTATGACGGATAAGGGAATGGAAATACCACAAAAATCAACCAAAGACATATTACTGGATCTTATTAAAAGACAAAAATTTGAAAAAGAGTATGTTGTTGACAATATGCTTCAGCAAAATGGCCATGAAGTATTACGTCTACCTCCCTATTACTGCATTTTTAACCCGATTGAGTTGGTCTGGGCTGCTTTAAAAAAAAAAGTAAGAAAACATAATCAGACCGCTCAATTAAGTGAATCGCTATTGGCCACAATAAGAGATGCAGTATCTCATATTGCTGCCACAGACCTATGGAAGCAGTGTTCTAGGCATATTATTGAAAAAGAAAATGAATATTGTGTTTTGCCTCCTGTAAATCCCGTTGTAATTCCTCTACAAGATGACTCTAGCGACAGCTCCGAAGGCGAGGATGATATATAAATACCTATAATGTAAGTCTTTATATACCTTTTTATATACCTACCTGCTATGTAAATATTTGCCTATGTCAAACGTTGGAATTCTGTAATTTTTCCATTTCTTAACTTTCAGTCAACATAAATTAAACTCCC